AGACATGATAGAGTGGCAAAATTAGTGCACTGGTCATTATGCAAAAAAAAATATAACTTGTCAGCCTCCAAAAACCCATGGTAACATCAGAGAAGTCATCAGAAAATGAGGAAGTCAACATCTTGTGAGATTTCTGGATCCAAAGGGATAGACACCGTGAGCATAACACACAAGACATAGTAGTAATAGAATGAAGAAAGGTGTGGATCAGTGACACTGCGATTCCAGGGGATGCCAGAGTTGAAAATAAAGAATTGCAAAAACTAGCAAAGTACAGAGACCTGGAAGAAACATACTTCAGTAGTCCCCATAGTCATTGGGGCTTTGGGAACAATATCAAGAAATTTCTACTATAAGCAGTTTCAGATCTCCAAAATCACACCACCATCAGAGCTACAAAAATGGCAATATTAGGAACAGCATACATACTGTGCTAATATTCAACAGATACTTGGGTTTTTGGTTAAAACTTGTTTCTGTTATATAATACCTGTCAATGTTTTTTATAATTTTGACTGTGCCTGGTGGCTTTAATAATAATAATAATAATAATAATCCTCCGAAAGAAAGCACAAAAACATATACGCACACAAATAATGATCAGAGATACGTCTCTCCCACTTCATTACTGAACTCTACTGGCGTTCTATATACATTTTCTTAACTATAGGTATTGTTTCAGCAGCAGGGTATTTACAATTTCCCTTCTAGGACAAAAAAGTTTTATTTTCTTCCTCTATGAACTCCTGGCTATAAATTTCACTGCTAGATCTGACTGAGACTCAACAGATGCAGTGGGGAAGGACACAGGGATTAGCTATCTTGGCTCCATCTCAAAGGAACACAGAAATTATACAAGAGGATAGTTCTTTCTGAAGCAAAGTCTGTCCAGATATGACTCTGTTAAACCAACATTCATTAGGAACGTCTATGGTATTGCACATGGATGCTTGTTTGCCAACTCTAAAACAAGGCAGAAAACCTGCAGGTGAAGTCACCTGTTCCTGACATAGGCACAGTGCCAAGTCCTGCTCAAACACCTTTTTAAGAGCATGCCTGTGGGTTCTCTTTCCAAGTACAATGCCACAGGCACAGCTAACTCTTGACTTTCAAAACAGAGTAGTTTATTTCTCTTATAGCATAGCAAAACAATAATTGCATGTTTTATCATCCCTTTTTTGTTTAACTTTTAAAAAATGCATAAAGCTTCATAGATAAATGATGGAACATGTGGCTGAGTACACAACTGACATGCCATATAGTCAGCAAGTGCACCATTTGGAGAGGAGCAGAATTTAGCATAAATGTCAAAAACTCATGTTCCCTCAAGCTCTCTTTTTCTGAAGAAGTTGTGACATTTCGTAAACCCAGCAAATTCATTCCGTAAACTGTTTACCCAGTGTAGCACATTACTGCAGTACAAAGAAAACACAGTTCGGACTGAGCTATTTTTTCTTATTTCAGTCAGTGTGGAAATGCTTGATGAAGAAGACATCAACAATATAAAAAGCTGCAACAGGTCACCTTCTCTGATAAAACTTATAAGCACAAGAGGAGGGGAAGTGTTTAAAAGCAGAGGGCCAGGAGACAGCTGTAAAGGAATCTAATGGAGAAGATTAGCAAGCCTTCTAGGAATAGGGGGAAATGGTTCCTCATGTTACATTGACATTTTATGAAAAGTAAAAGCACGAGACACTCTCTTTTATTGTTCTCTTGAAAACAAATCATTGGTACATGTTAATAATATCAACCAGAGTCTTAAAATAGGGCAGTAGAAATAGCAGAGATGCACTGACAGAGGTAGCCTCGTAGCTAAGGAACTCTAGATGAATTATTTGAGGCTGGGCACTGGGAAAACTCTTGAGGACAGTCTCTGGCAAGCACCATTCAGAACAGGAGGCACTAACTCAGAGTGAACAGCAAAGCCTTCAGGTGCTAATTTCAATATCAGTTGGAGAAGGAGCTAACAATACACATGGACAACAGATTCAAAGCACCCAAGCCTAGCAGATGATTTGGGCTTTACAGCACAAGTGTACATTGGGCAGGAGTTCACTCAGCCTGCTCCATACTATTAGAGACTTACGTAGTTCCACGTTCTCTTTTTAAGATGCTGCACAGCATCACACAACTTCCAAAGAACCAGAACAGTGAACTTTCTGAGCAATATTCTTCTGCCCTAATTTTGCTCAGCTGGGGAAAAAAGTCTTACCCCTGTATAGCTGACACCACAGAGAAAGTGAGAGAGAGCAGTAACTGCAGATCCCTCTTCCCCACTCCTACGTATACTTCACACTATCAGTTCCCTGTGCCCAGGAGTGTGGAACAAGTTCAAATTCTCCCATTCAGCTTCCTGGAAAAACATACACACTCTCTAGGGTTAGATCTCTCCACAATCAAGAGCTACAGTCAATGCTGAGGATAGGGGCACAGTAACACCAGGACTGGCCAGGAAGCAGGTAGATAACTCAGCTTCAAGAGATGGTTGAAAATTCCTTCAGCAGCACCTCCTGGCTGAGCGTGTTGAAGGCCAGATTCCGCCGCACGTTGATGCTGATAGACCGAACCTAAGGGAGACAGAATCATCATTACAGGTAACAGATAAACATTCCAGTATCTCCGGCACTGAAGCAGACCTTGGATAAGTCAATTTGATGATAGAAAATAATCAACCAAGCAAGATCTCCCATTGTGGAAACAAACCTTCAGCACTGATAAGAAGCCATTTATCAACTGAGATCAAATATATACATACTGAGACTCATACATGCTCATCCTGAAAAGTATGACAATGACTCAAATCTGCATTGTATATCATAATGGCAATATTTCAAGGTTTTGTAGATATCAAACTATTTCAGCCATGGAGGCCTTTGGGTAAAAGGGTAACAAAAGAACAAGCCTGTAGCATCAGAAGAAGACAATCTAGCCCTGGCCTCTGTTTTTCACAGTGGTTTGTGCTCTCTTACCAAAAGCATTCAAAATTACCTCCATCGTATCCCTTTCCATCAAGAAGTCCATCACAGTATTGAAAATCATCAACTACCCACTCGCTTACTGTGGAATGTTATCAAGATATGAATTTGGAAAACTAGATGTAAGAGAGCTTACAGCATATTATGGGGATTTTGTATTCCACCTGAGAACAAATAAATGATGTTTTCAATACTCACTCAAGATGCAAATAGACTTTCAAGAGAATGAAAAATTACCAAATGGGAAATTCCAGGCAAGAGTGCACTGAAAAGATCTAATTTTTCATCAAAGGCCTGTACTGCTTTGTAAAGCCCATTTTTGCTCTAAAGGCTCTACGCCCAGGAGCTGTCCAGAGTACTAACAACTTTGCTATCAATCCAGTTCTCTGTTCAGCTCCACCATATCTTTTGGAGTCCCACCAGCACCAACCCAGACCTAAATTATTACCACATGGAGTCCTGGATTTACCTCTCCAGACATTCATCCAGGGCTGGCCTTGTTTCACAAGCTTTGATCAACCCAGGACACAAAGCCAGTTTGTGAGGTAAACTGAGCAAATATAGTTTGTACTCAGCTATTGTTCTCTTAGTCTGCAAGGCACCTGTGTAGGATGTAAGGGAAATCCATATGCTAGTTGATTCCTCCTCTTGATTTGATAACAAACTCAGGGAGCACACTGTTCATTTATTGCAACTTTCAATAAGGAATTGGTTTGCTGTAGGCTCATTAAGTCTCCAGAGAAACAGGGATTAAACCAACTGAATTCATTTAATCACTAGATAAGAATGAATAAAGCTTTCCTGTCTTCATCCAACTAGATAAGGCTCTGTCTGAGCACTGCTCATAAAATAATAAGAGAAGAAACACTACCAGTGGTGATGGTAACTATACTCAATGTTACGCAGTCTAAACTACTAGCAATTAGGAGGATGAGTTCTGAAAGGAACTTTAATCTCAGCAAATTGGAAAGGCAAATCTTCATCTTAAGCAAGAGAAAGTTCTTTAATTAGCGAACAGAAGGACAGCAAAAGCTGGGGGACAGAAGAAGTGAGCAAGGTACTGATAGACAAACTGGAGCCATAGACATGATAATAGATAAGGATAATCTTTCACCTGCACAGGTGAGAAAATCCATTGCTGTTTCTGCAACAGTAACAGAGGTCAAGGTTCCAAGATTCCCATTTGAAAGCCAACACTCACCAGTTCTTTAAAAAAAGCAGCTTCTTTGTGTTGCTCTGAGTAGCGTTCATATTGGTCCAACCCATCCTGCAGCTTTAAGGTGAGTGTGTCATAGTTGGAGCGAACCACTTCCAAAACCTACATCACAAATAGACAGAACCATAAACTTGCTGGTCATTCAATTTGCAACATGCCAGACTGCTGCTTTAGGGCTCCTACTACACAATGGGAAAACCCAGGGACATATCTCCTGGAGACCTCAACTGTTCCTGAAACAATCTGGGAAATAAAGTGATCTTTTTTGGATTCAAGATTCAGCTGGGTATGTGTGAATAATATGTTAAGAATTTTTATTATCTTTTATTTTGGACCCATGGGATTAAGTCAGTGCTTCTCCATTCTTGCATGCAAACTTGTACTCCCTGTCTGTCTTCCTTGTTCCAATGAGTTACAGTCAAATCCCCAGAAGACAGAGGGACTTTTCTTCCTGATTGATTAATTCCTTTTCTCTAAAGTAGCAGGGAGATACATTCAACACATCTGAGAAGGTACCTCCACTTGGCTACTGGCATAAGCAAATTACTAGGAAACTAGTGAAACAGGTCTACCAAGCTTTCCACATTAAGTTTAGTAAAACTAAAAGCCTTCAAATCTATTAAGTATACCCAACAGAACATAGTACCTCTCTGGAACAAGCAAAGTATTAGAGAGAATACTACAGAAGGGTGTTCCTGTCAGATGAAACCTTTCGCCCACAACTTCTCAGAGTTGAGCTACACAGTTCAGAAAAATCGCACAGACTGTTTGGAGCTTTTTGTTATCTTAGAGAAAATGTCTATTTCATGTTAGCTAGAACAGCTATATCAGGATGTTCATGTACTTTCTTTACTTGTGTTCCCTTTTATCAGGGAATCTTACTCAATTACAAGGGAGAGGATTTGTTTCAGCAGTGGTGTGTGAGGAACACCTTCTCTGAAGTGACTTATCTGGCACTAGCTGGTAATAATTTCCTCACCAGCAAAAACATATTTACAAGGCCACTTTAAATTGTAATTTTAACTGCTTTTGCTATTTAATTGTTGCATTTTATATTATATATGTTTAAACTATATACTATCATGAAATCTAAACAGGAAAAAATAAACAGGTAAACACTTCCTTTAATCTTTGGAACAAGTTTATTTTGACAATGAAAACTGGGTCACGACTCTATTCCCACTTATGGAAATCTCCCACATTCTTACTGGCTAGCACAGAATCCAAACTTTAAAAATTAATGCATATCCAAAAAAGTCAGATCAGTGTCCTCTAAAAGTTTCAACAGCCTGGAAAGTTGAGAAGTTTCTAATATTTTTGACAGCTCCCTATTTTTTCCATACCATTAAGCAGCAGACATTTGTATGCCTACCAAAAAGCAAGAGCACCCCACACATTGGGGTGTGTGCAGGGGGTGGAAATAAGAAGGGAAAGGGAGTGGAGGAGAGGGGGCAGCTTTGATTGTCTTGACAGAGACCTCAAGGGGAGCTTCGCCAAGCAGAAATTTTAAAATGCACTGCCTAGCACCCAGCAGATGCTCGCCATAGGTGCAACCCATGCACTGTAACAGAGAACAAAGTGTGGGGAATTAATAAATGTTGACATGCTGCAAGGTCACTGCTGAATAGTTTATTGGCAATCCTGCTGGTGTTGTTAAAGCAAGCAGCCTTTTCTACAAATAGACTCCTTCTTTAATTTTGTTTGTCAGGTTTACTGGCAATGAGAAAAAAAATCCTCAGCAATAACAGCTATCCAAAAATTCAATTGGCCATCTTTTTGCAAATGTGCCAAGACTGTGATGGGATTAATAAGTATATGACAGTACAGACCTCAGCCAGTGAGTGCAGGCCTTGGAAGAGGAATAATTCACTCCAGCTTACAACTAGCCTCTGGGGAATGAGCATAATAGAATAATACACCCGCCACCAGACTGTAAAATATCACCCCAGCCTCCGAGAATCAGAACTCTGCTCTCTTGCCAACTGGAGAGATTCGAGTCACCTACAATTAACCATAGAGAGGAAGCAAAATGTACCCAAAAGAAAAGGAAACCCTGAAATGTCTCCTGAACATATTTTTCAACGCTACCTTTATGATGCTCTCACTTGTTAAGCTTCTTACTACCTTGACAAATGATTTCTGTTATCTCAGTTCTGAATGTCTGAACCCACAATGAATCCAAGAGATGCAGATGTTAAATGTTCATATAAACAAGTGTTTAAACTCCATTTTTGTTAAACTTAGCACATTTTGCATTGTGTTGCTCTTTATTTTTTCACATTTAAAACTGTTGTCTAGTAAAGCCTTTCCTCTCTGAACAGGAATTATCTGCTAGGGTGAAGCACATGACCTATGTCAGCCTGCTTGTGTTGCCTAAGAGGTTTTATTCCTTCTTGCTTCCATCGGCAGATAGAATGTCACTCCCACCAGCTAGCGGCTGGGATGAGTGGGAATATTAGCAACATATCCCTCACAAAATATATATAAAAGAAACAGAGCTTAATAGTGTATATTCAATTAATGTAGATTTTGCAACATCTTATCACATTGTCTGCAGAAGCAACCTTCCCCTACCTCGGCCTGTGGGCACAGGCTGCACACAAAAGGACCTGCTAGAGAGTTTAGGCATAAGAGATCCCCAGCAGATGGCCGACTATATGTAAGGGTTTAAGCCAGGAATCATCCAGAAATCTGAGTGCCTCATCCTTACTTACCCTAAGTGAAAGAATTATTATTTGCAAGACTTTCATCTTATCCTTAGCATTTGATGTGGTTTTGTTGAGGTGTATCTCTTCTCCAGAAGTGACAGGTGTAAGAATTTCTGAAGATCTAATCTGAGCCTACTCAAAGTATGGATAGAACTAGTTTCTTCAATATATTTTTGCTGAGATACAGTTTGGTCTACACTTATTTGCTACATTTTTTTCAAAAGTGTCAGCTAACCATCTGATCTCCCTCCCATCTTAAGGTTTCCAACATATGGTTGATCGTAATACCAACTACTACCGTTTTGCTGCAATATCCTTTAAAATCTGAGCAAGTTGCTATTTTTCCCAACAACCTTTGCACATTAGCAGTTTCCCTGAACCTCACTATGTAAGAATACATTGCTAGAGACAATTTGCAGTGCAGCAGACTGTCCAAGTGGGCATTGCATCACAGCTTCTATGGAGTAAGTACAAATTGTCAGTCAGAGAGTATTTAGTTACAGCTGAACAGTTTTTATCTAGTGCGATGGTGAAAATTCTACAGCTGTCTCTCCAACATACAGTACAAGAGGCCTTGATAGGGAACAAGTAACCTACTTTTTAAAATCATTGAAACAGCTGGGGTTCTGGACATGTGTTCAGGAAACAAGTCTTATTAAGAGACTTCTGGACTTATAGGCTACTATGCCTGCATGATCAAAGAGTTTTCCACCCACAAGCTGAAATTCTTATCACACTTAGAAAGACAGTGTGTGTAGTTTTCTTTGGCTGAAATCCTGTTGCATTGTTATGCAACAAGCTTAACATTTAGAGAGAAACTTCCCAAAGTTAAATAAATGGAACTGAAGGCTGAGGCGGGCGGAGCATGCACTATTAGGGGCAACTTAAACTTTGTTACTTTTCTCTTTAGCTCTAGAAAATTCCAAGAGGTCCAGCGCAGGCGCTGATTTAACCCTTTTGTGTGTATTCACAGAGGCCACGCTAAAGAACCAAATGCTTAGCCTTATTTGTTCTTTTGCGTGGAGGCAAAATCGGTCTCGACGGGACTGACGCCAATGAAGGAGCAGGAGATGCCCGCCCAGTAGATACAGGGCTATTTGGGCCAGAAGCCAGACTTGTGGTGGCTTGTACAAGTTGGCTTGGAGTCGGGGATGTTACGCTCACCGGGAAAACAGGTTCCATTTTGTCTGGGACCTAGCGAGGTCACTGCCTCAAGACATTGATTCCCGACCCCAGGAAGAGTATTCTAAAATCAGTGACGGTACCGATGCCAAGACTGGAGGCAACTGTTTCAGGAGTTCTTTGATTTAGTCAAAGATTTTGATTTGGCTTGTTTGGTGCTCTTAACGAAGGCAGTGGAAGATGCCTTCGATGTCGAGGCGGAGGTTTTCTTTAAAGCTGTAGGTTTTTTGGCGGGTTTATCTTTAGTAGCAGTCGAAGGCAACTGAGGGGAAGTTGCACAAACTTCAGACTGTGGTGTAGCAGAGGGTGAAGAGATTTCCATTTCGGATGGTTTAGATGCTGACAGGGTTTTATCCCATAGGTGATATTTTAAACTTTGTTGGTGCGCCTTAATCATGGCTTTTGTAAATTTTTTACAGTGTTTACAACTGCCAGGCTGGTTGGACTCTCCAAGGCAAAAAACACAGCGATCGTGGCCATCCTGAAAAGGCAGTTTATGGGAGCAGATGATACAGTGGCTGAAGGGACCAGAACGGGACATAAGCAGGTAGGGAAATAGATCAGTTTTCCTGTTGTGGATCGGTAATTGAAGTTGCATGGGCCGTTAGCGGTAAGTTGTCCGGAAGCAACAAATCCAACCAGTAGGCAACAGAAGAGTCAAAGAGCAGTCCAAGGTCAGGCCAACAGATATTAGCGACGTCAGAACAGTCCGTGGTCAAAAAAATACCAAAAATTCTAAGGAAAATAGCGAAGCTCAAACAAGAGGTTCCTAGCCAGACGGTGGTAAAATGGAACTGGGGGCTGAGGCGGGTGAAGCATGCACTATTGGGGCAACTTAAACTTTGTTACTTTTCTCTTGAAGCTCTGGAATATTCCGAGAGGTCCAGCGCAGGTGCTGACTTAACCCTTTTGTGTGCATTCACAGAGGCCACGATGAAGAATCTCCACAAGTGCTATCACACGCTGTGGCGAACACCCTTAGTTATGCATTGTAAATTATGAATTACATGATATATGTTAATGTAGTTAAGAGGCGGGACTGAGAGAGATGTTAAAAGGCGGAGCCTGAGAGGAGAAGTTAGTCAGTTAAGTTGAGTCAGAGTCGATGTTAGGAATCAGAGAGAGAGAGAGAGAAGGATAGTTTGGGGAGTGATTAGTCTGAGTGTAAACTGTGATAATTACTGAATTAAGGTTAATACTGAAGCTTGATGA